GCCGGGATGTGCGGGGCACGCGTGGGGCTGGGGTGAGGGGAGCTCCTGGCTGCTGCGCCCCAATTGCTTTTATCCTCTGCACCTGCACATCTCCATTCAGTGCGGGTCTGGGCTGGGGGCCCCGCCAGCTCTGCGCCCTCCAGGGGACGTCGGAGGGGACGGTTGTTAGAAAGAGGCCGAATGTCAAGGGGGGGGGGCGGGGGAGAAGGAGACATGTAATACTCTTTGTAATACTTTAAGCAATAAAAAAAAAAAAAGAAAGAAAGAAAGAGGCCGAGCGGGGCTGAAGGGTTGAGTGGCGGGTAGACGGGAGGGACGTGTCCCAAAGCCTCTTTCACGGGATGGTTCTAAACAGGATCTTCAAGGATTCGAGGTTCATGAGATTTTAAGTCCTGAGGACGTTTCCTATTTTGTTTTCTTCCCGTTAACTTTTTAGGAAAATGGAGGAAATGACACTAGATCTTAAGCACTTCAGCAATGAAGTCCTTTTTCTTTCGTATTTTTTTTTCCTTTTGGTCATTTTTCTTTCCTTTTCTTTTTCTTTTTTTTTTTAAAAAAATAGAATAAGTTATTGTTGCTATTCAAGTTCTGGTAAGAGAATATTTAAAATAACCTGCCAGATGAGCGTCTAATACCATAATGCGATGACTTTTTCTCACGCTCTTATTGCCGAAGTGAGTATTGCTCAGCTGAGTGTGATGGGAGCTCTGGCCCTTAGAGAGGGAGAAGGTGCAGGTGGTCTCAGTAACCGGGCCCATGCTGATCTATATGATAGAAAATCACACGGGGAAGCCAAGCTTCACAATCAAACCAGGATATCATTTTGCAATATCAAGTGGTGTTACTTTGAAGACACAGAGAACAAAATGCACTAATGCTGAAAGGCAACAAAGAGTCAGGCTGGAGGAACTGTAACGAGGCTGCTGAGAAAGTTGTGTATTCGTGGACCATCCTAAATTTCAAATAAAACAGACTGTGACTTCAGTGTAGAATTGTCACTAGTTAACATCAGAGAAAACGGTTTCCGTGTGCTATTCTTATTCAGTCATCAGAATAGAAAGGATACACCCCAAGTCTGCGATTGTAGCCAAGAAACAACCAACACAGGCTTGGGTGGATGAGCAGGGTTACCTCCTCCTCAAGCGTTGGGTAAATCTCACACTTTGGCCCCTTTAACCTTGATTCCTACAGGGAATGAATGTGGAAGTGTGTGGGGTCTTTTCTATTTTGTTCCTGGGACGCCCAAAGGCCTGACATTGCAAGAATGTCTTCTTTTCTTTGTCTTTTTAAAATACACTTTTAAAATTTATAACAATTTAGGTTTAAAGAGAAATTGCTATGATAGTATAGAGAATTCCTATTATACGACACCCACTTTCCCCTATTGCTAACATTTTACATTAGTATGATACATTTGTCACAATTAATGAACCAATATTAATATATTAACTAAAGTGCACACCTATATTTCCTATATTCTTACCTAATGCCTTTTTGTTGTTGTTCCAGGATTTCATCCAGGATACCATATTACATGCAATAGTCATGTCTCCTTAGGCTCCTCTTAGCTGTGACAGGCTCAGACTTCCCTTGTTTCTTATGTGAAGTATTTTGTAGAATGTCCCTCAATTGGTATTTCTCTGTTACTTTTCTTAGAACTAGACTTAATGGTTAGGGGAGTTTTTGGTGGTGTTGTTTTGGAGGAAGGTCGCAGATGTAAAGTGGCATTTTCATCGTATTACCCTAAGGCAGTGGTTCTCAACCTTCTGGCCCTTTAAATACAGTTCCTCATGTTGTGACCTAACCATAAAATTATTTTCGTTGCTACTTCATAACTGTAATGTTGCTACTGTTATGAATCGTAATGTAAATATCTGATATGCAGGATGGTCTTAGGCGACCCCTGTGAAAGGGTCGTTCGACCGCCAAAGGGGTCACGACCCACAGGTTGAGAACCACTGCCCTAAGGGTACATACAGGGTGTCCTCAAAAAATGTATACGCACCTTAAATAATTAATAATTATTTAGGTTAATTATTCCATGGGTTAAATCTGAAAAGAAAGAAACATCAATTGAGCTATCAAAAAACAAAGAAATGTGTGTATACATTTTTTGGGACACCCCATACTATGAATATGGCTTATCATTGTTATTGTTAACCTTCATCACCTAGATGAGGTAATATATATCAGGTTTGTCCACAGGTTATCTCTTTTTTTCCCTTTCACACTATTTTTTTTTAAGGTAAGTCATTAGGTACAAATCCCACTTTAAGGAAGAAGAATTGTGCTCCACATCCTTGAGGGTGGAGTATCTCCTAAATTATTGGAATTCTCCTTGGGAGATGTGTCTACCTCTCATTCATTTATTCATTCATTCATTTATTCATTCATTTCTATATCAGTATGCACTCATGAACATTTATTTTATACTTTGGATTATAGTCCAATACTATTTTATTTATTTTAGTCCTCAGGTTATTTCAACTTTGGCATTGAGTTTTTTAAGTTGGTTCCTTATGTCCCTTTGACATATCCCCACCACACACACACACACACACGTTTTCAACATTACTTTTCTTTCTCACATTACAAAGTGCTCCACACTGATCTTGTATATGTTCTGCTCTGGTCCCAGAATCAGCCATAACTCCAAAGAATCCCTGGTTTCTTTCATTGCCAAATGGTATTAGAAACCGAAATCTGGGCAGGAGGTATGTATACGCATTGCTAGTAGGGTGTTGTTGAAAAACAGGAATTTTTTCAGGGCTGTTTCGCTCTACAATCCTATTTGTGACCTATCCACTCATGTCCAGATCCAGAAACAGTGTGTTGAAAGCTCCCATGTATATCAGACACTTTTCTAAGGACTTTCTTGTATATCTCTTTTTAAGGTCTCAACCAACTCATGAGAAGGAACGTATAACTTATATACATAGTGACCCCAAGGCTCAGGAAAGCTAAGTTGCTTGTCTAAGCCCACTTATCGAGGCTGGAAAGAGATAGAACTGGAATTTAAAGACCTGAGAATTTTTTTTATGGATAGCTGGACTTCTTATCTTTCTATCTGAGTACTTAACCCTTTTGCCTTCTTTATTCAAGAAAAGAGTGGAGTAGACTTAGTGGAATTAGTGGCTTTCTTATGTTCTAATTACATACTTATATTTTTAACATTCATCCAAATATAATTGTACCACTCTTCTGTCTCAATCTTACCATGTACAATACCATGCTTATTCATTTTTTATTTCTGTGTGTCTTCCTTTGTAGTCTGGACGAATATTTTTGTTCTTGCTGCTGTTATTTAAACTATGCTTTCAGTGTATCTGTTGATATATGGACATTTATTTGTGTTTTCAGTTGAATTATATTTTTATTTCTCACCAAAATGGAAGCTGCATAAGGTAGAGAATTTATTGGCGTTTGCTCACCACTGGAGGAGGTCCAGGGCTGAGCAAAGTGTCTGGTATAAATAAATGCGTGTTGATTTGGGGATGAGTTAGAGTGGGTGGAAGAAATGGGAGAAAATAATGATTATATCCTAAATCATGAAGCCCTAAGTAGGTGGGATGTCAGTTTTCTCTAAGGTGATATTTAAGCTGATACCTCAAAAAACAAAAGAAGTGAATGTTTAGTATGAGGGGTAGGAGGACGGGGGAGAAGATGTCCATGCATTCTGGTATCTTTCAAACCCAAGGAGTTACATGTGAATGAGAGCAGTGTGCTGTTGTTGACTCTGCATGGCTGGCAGTAGCTGGTCCTTCGATTGGACTGGAACCTAAGCCAGTCAACTTGGCCTGAATCATCTGTAATCTCTCAGCAGCTGATAAGGACTGTGGGGTGAGGGTGGGCCGGAGTCTGGCTCTTCTGTACAATTACAAGGTTCCTCCTCTGTGGTGGAACTGACCCAAAATAGCAACTAGGAGAGTTCTGCCCCCTGTAAACATTGTTAAGAACAAAGCTTTATAGTGAATTTGCTGAAGAGAACTGGTTCCATCCTGCCATGGACATCTTATCTGATGAACATTAAAGGTCAAACTGGGCTTGCTGGTAGACCCGATAACCATTTCCAGACAGCAACAGAAATGACCTTTTAAAAACGCCAAGTCCTGGCCAGTGTGGCTAAGTTGGTTTGAATGTCATCCCGTGCACTGAAAGGTCACCAGTTTGATTCCCAGTCAGGACACATACCCAGGTTGCGGGTTTGATCCCTGGTCTGGGTGTGTGTGGAGGCAACCAATTGCTGTTACTCTTTCACATCAATGTTTCTCTCTCTCTCCCTCCCTTCCCCTTCCTCTCTCTCTAAAATCAATAAAAACTTTTTTTTAAATGGCAAAACAAAAACATCAGCATAAATAGAACCTGGAGTTTCCTAAGGCTGAAAAGACTCATTATTCCTCCACATGAGTAGTTTAATGAGAGGAGCTCATGTGAATTTACATGTGCTTGCTCTACCCATGCTTTCCATCGCTTTGGTTCTCTCCTGGGGATCTTTTGGGTGGAGAAGATGTTTTGGACCATAGACACTAGGGGCAGCTTCTATTGTTGGCAAGCAGACGGGCAGAAAACAGTAAAGACCATCATTTAAAATATCAATTCTTTTCATCTCATAGCAAATAAGGGCGCTAATTATGAGTCAGTACTTCGGTATAGTTGTACTGCCAGATTGATGTTTTGAGGCAGATGAGGGTGAGGATGGAAAGGGAGACTCGGAATTGGAGTCAAGTGCTTTTTTTAGCAAAAGCAGAAAAAATAAACTTTAAACAACTTAAAGCTAGGCAATGTTTTCTTGGAAGGTGTTACTGCTAACCTTTGTAAGGCAGTGGAGACGCTGGGATGTTGGGGTCCAACCCCAGCAGGTCCAGGGGTCCCCAAAGGTGTGGACGGAGTCGGCGAAGAAGGAATGACACGGAGACAGCCTTCAGTTGATCAGCAGCCTAGTCAGGATCTCTAGCCAGGATCTCCAGCCAAGTTCTGGTCGGGATCTCCAGGGAAGTTCTGGTTAGGATCTGATTAGGATCTGATGTTTATTGTCTTGTTACATCTATATTTATACCAGCCGATTTTAATCCTGTCAATTTCTATTACAAAGGTTAGGGCGTTTCTTATCTCCATTCCAGGGAGTAAAGATTATGTAGCTTAACTACCCGCCTAGCACTTAGTTAAGGGGTTGTATCCCCTCCCTAACCTCGGGGAAAAATCCCCACCTGGGGAAACAACCTTTCTCGGAGAGGTGACCTTGGTTAAAACACATGGCACTAAGGAGAGCAAACATATTAAGAACAATATGCTATATATGCCAGGTCCCTTGAAACATATGCTGTGCAGATGTTTCTTCCCTGCAGCGACTGTGTCAAGCAGCAAGGATGGGACCGGCTTCCGGCACTGGGACCGGCCTCCTCCACCCTGCGTGGAGCTGTGGGACCCCCAGGCCTCCCTCACCGCGTGGAGCAGCCACTGGGCCCCTCCTCTGCTAGCATGCGGCCATCTTGTGACAACGTCACACACAAGAACCACCTAGACTTTTATTAGTATATATATATATATATAGTGAGTTGTATTTCAGATTGCATAGTCTAGTGGTAAAGAGCATGTTCTCTGATGCTGGACTCTGTGCTCACTTTCTAGCTGTGTGACCTTGTACAGGTCATTTGACTTGTGTGCGGGTGTGCCTGTCAGTTACCCACGGGTAAGGGTGGGAATCCCAGCATGTTTCCTCCACCCACTCCACTCCTCCTCACCCCCTTCCCATCTAATCAACAGGCATATATTTACACCTGCTTCTAGCCAGGTACTTTGCTCAACCACTGGACATACAGTGGTGAGCACACATCAAGAAATTTCTTTTCTTATGGTGGTTTAAGAAGAATTAAATGTGTGTACATGTATATAGCACATTTAGAAAACTGGTACTGATATTATTGTTAAAATTTGGGGCATTGTAATTAAACATTCACATTCTCACTTAATGGGTTTCCTTCCATTTATGGGAGTCCTATCCAAAGACATATAATGGGGTTGCTTCATAATATTATACTCATTTAAATTGCTTATTTTATTTACTTTTATTATTTTAAGAATTTATTTTAAACTGTGGTTTTATTTTGTTTTGTTTTGTTGTTGTTAATCCTTACCATAGGATATTTTTCCATTGATTTTTAGAGAGAGTGGAAAGGAAGGACGGGAGAGAGAAAGAGAGAAAGACACATTGATCGGTTACCTCCCACACAAGGGGCCAGGGATCGAACCTACAACCCAGGTATGTGCCCTTGACTAGGAATCAAACCCATGACCCTTCAATGTGCAGGCAGATGCTCTAACCATTGAGCAACACTGGCGAGGGCTTAAAATGTGTTTTTTAAAGTGTTATTACTAAATATACCATCTACATTGATACCCATGTCTATCTATGAAAAGAATATGCTAACTAGGTAAAGAGCCAGTTCAGTTGGAGGCAACAGCACTCGCAGACGTCCAAGGGCATGAGCAAGCCTGAAGAGTGTGAGGGAATGAAAGCTCCTTGCTGCCAGGCCTGAGGACAGGGGAGGGCAGAGCGTAGCACCCAGGTGCTGGAGGGCCTTGTGGGACACAGTTAGGATTTTGCATTTATCTTGAAGGCAAAGAGAAACCACTGAAGGCCATTCAGCATTGAATAGGAGTCAGATTTGCATTTCAAAAAGAGAACACAGTGGATGGGAGATGGAGAATGGGCAGGATGGGGTGGGTGGGAAGTTGAAGTGGGGAGAGGTGCCATTGGAGTGGTCCAGCAATTTATAAGTATTTTCATACAGCTTATTAAAATATATGTACACACATATACAATTAAACATATGCCCACAGACAGTTGTTTTATATTTGAAATGTAGTGAATTAAATGAAGTCAGGAATTTGAGGAATTCTAAAATCATGTCGCTGTGTTTCTTTCTCTTCAGTTCCCAACATATAAACATGAAACAGTAGCTCTTTTTATCTTCACTCAGTTTTGTTCTCTTTCCCACTCCTGGGTTTGTCTTTTGTTAGTATTAAGTGTTTCCCAGTGTTGGTGCACCCTTAGGTGGGTTATATGATTTGCTCTGATGGAGAGAAGAGTGGTCATCTGTGATACTAAGTGTGTGAATGCATGAGAGAGAGAGGAGAGAGAGAGAAAGAGAATATGAGTGTGCTCAAATGAATTTCTGCTGACAGGACCACAAAACCCTACTCTCAGCACCTTCAGGCTTCAGGCCAGTGAGCAGGTCAGAACTGTTCTCCAGTTTGAATTGTTCTTACATTTTATTTAATTTTTTATTTATTGACTAGAGACCCGGTGCACGAAATTTTGTGCACGGGTAGGGTCCGTAGGCCTGGCCGCAATCAGGGCCCATCTGTGGGGCGACCGGCAGGGTAATCGGCCCCCCCCCATCCCCCACTGGTACCCACCTTGGCAGCCTGGGGCGTGCACGCTGGGGGCAGCTCCTGCATTGACCATCTGCCCCCTGGTGGTCAGTACATGTCATAATAACTGGTCGTTCCAACGGTTGTTCCGCTGTTTGGTCTATTTGCGTAGTAGGCTTTTTTTAAATATTTTTTTTTTATTGATTTCAGAGAGGAAGGAAGAGGGAGAGAGAGATAGAAACATCCATGATGAGAGAGAATCACTGATCAGCTGCCTCCTGCAAGTCCCCTACTGAGAATTGAGCCCACAACCTGGGCATGTGCCCTTGACTAGAATCGAACCTGGGACCCTTCAGTTCACAGGCCAACGCTCTATCCACTGAGCCAAACCAGCTAGGGCTAGGCTTTTATTATATAGGATTTGAGAGAGAGAGGGAGAAGTTGATTTGTTGTTCCACATATTTGTGCACTTATTGGTTGATTCTTGCATGTGCCCTGACTGGGAATCGAACCGTGACCTCCTGGTTCATAGGTCAATGCTCAACCACTGAGACATACTGGCCGGGCTGTTCTTAAATTTTCTACACAGAAAACTCTGCTGGACTTCATCCTGTGAAAGTTTCAAGACCTACACTCTGCTCTCCACTGTGATGGCCCAAAAAGTCTTGAGTGGGTGTGCTTGTGAGCTTAACAGACAGGAGTTTTAGCTCTTAACTAGAGTCTTGCCTTTCTCTCAAGTTTTTATTTGTTTTGTTGCATTTTGTTTTGTTTGAGTTTCCCAGATTTTGCAGAGGGACGGTTTGGGACAGATTTGTCTTTATATTTGTACGGAGTAGACGAGCCTGCGGGCCTTTCTCTGTGTGAGGCATTTTCGGTTTCCTCGCTCTCATTTTGTCACAACAGTCACCTGCTGTTTTTAATTTTAGCGTCGCTCACACTGTAAAAACATGGCAACTACTTTATTATGGACATAACCAAAGACAAAAAATAGATCGTTGTTAAATGCCTTTACTTACATGTTTAAAAATATGTACGTGGTAAATTGACACTGCACAGAAAGAATATAAAATGAAAAATACAGTTCCTTTCTAGCCCTCCGACTTCTATCACAAGGAACCCACTCTTAGGTTTCTTGCATGTAGATCCAGAAAAATAGGGGGGAGGAGGCGGTGAAATATAGCTGCAGCATATATGATATAGTTTCTTTAAAATTTAAAATCAAAATGTACTCTGCTTATTCTCTTCACCTTTCAATGAGTCAAGTCATATTACGTGTAGTATTCTTCACCTCCCTGCAAACATTTACTACTAATAAACCGGCAGCCCAAGACTAGGCCTCACAAACAGGACTCATGCTCACATCTTAGAGGCCTTTAAAATCCTAAGGCAAAAAGCAGTAGGGGCTACCTTCTAGTTAAAACCACCAAAAATAAGTCATGAAACAAAGTGATATAGCAAAACAGAGGGAAATACACTCCCCAAAACAGTGACCAAATCTGGGAAGGGACAATCCCAACCCAGACCCAATGGACAAGGCCAAAGAAGGGGTAAGGACCAACGCCCTGGGCGGACTGAGGCGCCAGCACCAGCTGAGACCGACACACAAGTGCAGGCTGGGCTATTTTTAAAGGAGACCAAGGGAGAAGTAATGGCCACAAATAAAAAGGGAACATGTTGATCTACCGGAAAGTGCTAAATTTGAAAAGGGAGAATGGTGCTAATGTTCTAAGAAATGCTCTCGAGACACTTTAAAATAGGATGGGATTCTAATCAGAAGTAGAACTGACACAATGGCATAAACAAGAACTCAAGTGTAAATAGACAGTAATCTATTTAATTCAATATTCAATGAATTAGTCTATTATTTAATACAATAAGGTAAACATGCAGCGAGCATATCAAAAAATATATATGATAAAAAAATCTACATAAGCTGATTGGACTCATGAGATCATAATTTTTTGGCTCCATATAATGCTTTTGGTCCCAGAACCAGTCAGGTGCTTTTGTGCCCCGTGTGTATGTGTCAGTGGTGACGGGGAGTGAACCACTATGCCATTTTACCACGATGTTTCTCCTCTCCAACGGCCATCATCTCTACGTTGTTGTCATTGTTGCAATGTTCTCCACGTAAACATGCAGCGAGCATATCAAAAAATATATATGATAAAAAAATCTACATAAGCTGATTGGACTCATGAGATCATAATACTTTGGCTCCATATAATGCTTTTGGTCCCAGAACCAGTCAGGTGCTTTTGTGCCCCGTGTGTATGTGTCAGTGGCGGGGGGGAGTGAACCTCTATGCCATTTTACCATGATATGTTTCTCCTCTCCAACGGCCATCATCTCTACATTGTTGTCATTGTTGCAATGTTCTCCATGTGGCCAGATGCAATTTCTCTCTGAAGGCCCAACTCCAAAAAAATCCTTACCTCTTCTCAGAAGCCTTCCCAACTCATTTGTTCTTCAAAGCCAGTCACCTGCATATTGGATCCCAGTGCTTTGGGTATGTTCCTGGTTCTTTATGGCACTTTTTACATGTGCATCTCTTTGTGTTTTGAGATTGTTGAGGGCAGAGACAACACACCTTTGTGTCTCTAGCACCTAGTGTAGTGCCTAGCACTTAGTGATTCTTTATAGTTAAAGTAGAGGCCCGATGCACGAAATTCATGCAAGGAGCTCGGCCCTCGCAGCCCCAGCTTCATCCAGAAGGTCGTCCAGAAGGACATCCAGAAGGTTGTTTGGCTGTCCGGTCTAATTAGAATATTATGCTTTTATTATTATGGATAGAAGTGAGTAACTGGGTATGTAATGTTGGTTTATTTGTTTCTTGGCTTCATAAAATTACATAACTTATTTTTATATATATATATTTTTACTGATTTCAGAGAAAAAGGGAGAGGGAGAGAGAGATAGAAACATCAATGATGAGAGAATGATTGATCGGCTGCCTCCTGCACGTCCCACACTGGGGACCAAGGCTGCAACCTAGGCATGTGCCCTGACCGGGAATCAAACCGTGACCTCCTGGTTCATAATTTAATGCTAAACCACTGAGCCATGCTGGCCAGGCCATAACTTTTTAATAATAAGAATCCCAGGACACATGTAAATTTAGCAGTCCCTAGGGAATGCATAATTTTACTCTTTTTTTAGAACTCCCTCCTTCCTGATTAATTGTGGCCTCCTTAGAGTTACAAGGAAATATGGAGAGTGGTCTGCCTTTTTAGAGTGCTGAGACATTTTTCTGATTGCCTGCTGCTTCCTTGAGTTAATAAGCATTGATTAAAAATAGTACCTCCTTACAAGTTACCTGAGATATCACACAGCATTCGATGTTGGAAAATTGTAAAGGTACTCTCTGGAGCAGGGAACTGCAGACTTTCCCCATCTTTTTTGACACTTGTTGATGTCACAGCAGTGCATGACTTATAACAGGAAAAAGTTTATAGAGAGATGAGAGCACAGGGCCTGACAAAGTGATCTTTATTTTCAAACTGAAGATGGTTCTCCTAGGCGTTCTTGTCCAGTCATCATAGCATCTTCCTGTGGGATCTTGATACCTGGTCATTAGCCTGAAAAATTCTCCCTGGATCCAGGTGACTCATCATCTCGTTCCAAGGGTGTCATCTCAGAGTTCAGCATTCGACAAATGCTTAGAATAGGCACATCCTAAGAATCTCAGCTTTATTGAGCTACTCCCCCAGAAAAGCTTTCTGAAGATGCTGGAATCTTCCAACAACACTGTTGGCAGCACTGTCTTCTAACTTTTTTGATCCATATCCTACTTCTTATACAAAGAACATAAGTTTCTGGTTATAAATTATATACATGTATTTCTGTATCGATATAATACATTAATTATCAAAACATACATAAATA